CCTGCGAAGGCCCTCCCTGGCCCCAGGCAGGCAGGGGTGGGGAGAGGCAGGGAGGAAGCAACTTACCCTCCCTCTTCTCCTGCCTCCTCCTGGCTGAATGAGGGCCGGAAGCGAGGTGGCCGGAAGCAGGGGGCGGGGCTTCGTCATGTGTCCCGCCCCCCGTACCTCACCCGGGGGAACTGCGATCCTCCGTGTTCCCCCCCGAAATGACCTCTGCGTATACAGAGGAATCCTGCTCAAACAACAAGAGGGGGAAATCATCGCAACCACAAGGCTTGCCACACCCTGCTGTTCTTACCCGGCCAAACTCAGAGGACCAGTTCACCACAATGCTATTGGGGACTGTTGCAGACAGCCGCACCAGAGGAGTGATGTTGATAGGTCGGCTCGGTCGCTTGGGCTCTGCACCATTTTTTGTGGGAGGAAGATAACCCTGCGAAGGCAGAAGAGAACATCAGAACCCAAGGCCATCGGCCCTCTTGTCAATCATATCTGCTAAACAGACTTTATCTCCCCTCTTGGGAATGCAGGAACCCTGTCATTCTTTTGTAATTTGACTACTGCAGTGAGCTTCACATGTGGCTGCCCTTGAAAACAAGCTTCAATGAGTGCAATAAATCACCATTTAAAACTAAACAAAACCCCAAATGAAACACACACACCCAATCCCAAAAGATACCCGCAATTTAGATCCCATTAAAAGCCCTGGCACATAAAATGGCTTCCTAAAAGTTTCTGGAGACAGTATTCCCAACACAAACTTATTTCAATGTTATTGCTTTAAAACTGCAAGAGCAAGCTCTGGATGGAAATTGTTCTGAAACAGCAGAAAATGAATATTTGAAATAAATAATTATTTTAAGGGTGTTTTTTTTTTGTCCAAATAGATTTTATGATGGTCATTTTAAACGCCTCCCCCCTGTTGTTATTTATTTATTCTATTTATAGTATGCCTTAATTCTGAACACCTGCTGGAAAAAGCAGCAAATAAATAAAAAACAAAAACTTATGAAAGCAAAGCTGAACATACTCAGAATTGAGAAAGACGTCAATCGTGGAACATAAACTATCCCACAACAGACTACTGGAAGATAAAAAGAAGGCCATTCAAGAGACTGGTGTGTGTGGGGAGTATATACTCACTGGAAGGGGGCAAAGTTTTCCATTGACCTTCACAAATAAGTTAGGAGGGAAGTAATCCTCTTGTGGGCAGCTGGTTTCACACAAACAAAACCTGGAAAGGCAAAAAGGAAAGACTAGCAGAAAAGTGAAAAAGAAAAGAAAAGAAAAGGTACACAAAACTGTCCCCCAACCTTTCCTGCAGTGGAGAGAGCATCCATTTTAGTTAAGTGTTCTATTACGGAATGTATGCAAACACATGAAGCTGCCACATACTGAACCACACCATCAGCCCATCAAAGTCCCTACTGTCTGCTCAGACTGGCAGCGGCTCCTGGGGGGTTTCAGGAGGACCTTTCACCATCACCTACTGCCCTGGTCTTTTTAAGTGGAGATGCTGGGGATTGAACCTGTGACCTTCTACATGCCAAGCAGATGCTCTACCACTAGTGTATATGTCAAGTTATGTGCTGTCAAGTTATGTGCTTCTGATTATGACGACCCTACAAATTAATGACCTCCAGAATGTCCTATCGTTGAGAGCCCTGCCAATGTCTTACAAAAGGAAGCCAAGGCCTTCTGTTACTGAGAATCCACCTCATGTTGAGCCTTCCTCTTTTCCCACTGCCCTCAGCTTTCCCTAACATTGTCTTTTCCGTTGAGTCTTGTCTTCTCATGATGTGACTAGAGTACAATTTTATTTATTTGTTTAAAACGTTTTACACCACCTTTCCACCCGATCAAAGTCCCCAAATAGGCTGAGTTTAGTCATTTTCACTTCTAGGGAGAATACAGGCTTGTTATTAAGGAACACGTAAATGAAAAGGTATGCAAGGAATGCGTTCTAAGGAAGGGCTTCCAATACTCTTTGAAATTATTGCGGACATTCGGCGCTAGACATCAAGTCTGCACTGCAGTCCTTCAGATGAAGAGGTTCAAAGGGAAAAGATGGCAAGAAGCTGCAGAACTGGAATTCACATGCAGATCAGAGACAACAGAGACCAGAGATGCTGCAGAAAATTATTGTCCCTCCTCACAGGGTTATCTGCATTATCCATCCTGCTTTGCCAGTACCTCAATGATGGGATGTCCTCCATAAAAAAAACACTGAGTGGATCCTTTATTTATTTATTGTGGATTTTGTTATTGTCTGTGCCCTACGTTTTATGTCATAGGAAAATGGGCTCTTCTGACCTCTCCTTATAACAGTGCTTCTTTCTGCATCGTTAGATACAAATCTGTCTGCTAACTGCATATAACAGGGGAGAACCAGGTTTGAGTCCCCACTCCTCCACATGCAGCCACTGGTGTGACCTTGGGTCAGTTACAAGTTGTCAGAGGAGTTCTCTCACGGGCAGTCCTCAGAAGCTGCACCTACCTCACAGGATGTCTGTTGTGGGGAGGGGAAGGGAAAGGAGATTGTAAACTGCTCTGAGTCCCCTTCATGTAGCGAGGGGTGGGGCATAAATTCAATCTCTCTCTTCTCTCCAAAGCACGAGTAACAAAAGACTGAAAGGTTCTGCTTACCTTAACTGAACTTGTACGGTGTAATCACATTTGGTACCAGGTAAGATCTCTCTAGGGGAAGGGGAAAAAAAGAAGTCTTAAAACAGGCTGGCCTAGTTGAACTACCTGCAAATATTGTTCTGGATCCGAAGGGTCTACAGTATTATGCAAGAATAGGAAACTCATTCCGAAAACTGGGGTTTTTTTAATGTTTGGGCAAGCCGACAAGCTGATAGGGAGGGGGAGACCAAGCTTGCATAAAATGGACACTTAGATCCAGTCCCCCATTTCTTCTTACAAAAGGCACTTCCACTCATGCTCCTGGGGGAGAGTGGAGAGCCCGCTGACCCACAGGGACACTTCCAGGAGGCATAGACAATTGCAGCAGAATGGGGAAGTGTGAAACACGCTGCCACCGTAACATTCCAATTGTACAACACAGCATCCAAGGCCTAGGTAGGAACAGCTGTGCGTAGCTAGCAGAAAGAAGCTAAACACAGAGCAGGCAGAAGTCAGAGACTGGGAAGCAAAGACATTTTAAAAAACCCTACCTCTTCCCTCAGCCACACTCCCTATCAGGGAAAACCCTACCTAAAGTTTTGGTGGGTAAGGACAGCCTAGCTTTGTGTGACTTGCCTTTGCGTGATCTTTTCATGTCATCATTGCAAAGTAGTCTTGAGGGTTGTGGGGTTTTAAAAAAAAAAACCAAACTCTTAAATTAAAATAATATTCTGTTTACCGAGAGGTGAGGATCTGCTGCACCTGCTGAGGTGTCAGGACAAAAGAGTACTGGCCCTCCTCAAATCTCTGACTGTTCACGGAAGCTGCAAAAGAGAGAAGGTAAAAGACTGTCAGATGTTGCTCGGTGCCTTCAGGGCCAAGCCAGATGTTCTGCTGAACACTGAGAAATCTCTTTATCTACACAGGACATTGTGAGACCCAGTGTGATGCAGTGACTAGAGCAGCAGTTCCCAACATGGGGCTCGTGGGCAATGCTCCCTCTAAGCTGTGGAGTCTTGTGAGCAAAAATACTACTTTGTGAGCTACTGGCATTAAAGTTGTGAGTGAGCGACTTGGCTGCTACGTAAATTAGTTGGCTCTGGAGCCATCCTTCCTGTGCTAAGACAAAAATGTGTGAGCTGGAGGCTAAAAAACTGTGAGCTAGCTCACACTAACTCAGCTTAGAGGGAACACTGCCCGTGGGCACCATGGCCTTTTCTGGTGTCTCCCAACTGTTTTTTAGAAAGGAGGCGGGGCCAGGTGGGGCTTTTGCCCAGCAAGGCTTCTGATTGGCCACTGGAGATCTGATTGAATGTGCAGATTTTTAAGACCACTGCTTTGGCGGCAGCTGCCACCACAGCACAAGCATCTTCACAGTGTGACTGCAGGTAAGCTATGGCAGTCCTTTTGTGGCTGGCTGCCTACTGCAGCAGCCATTCTGTGGTGGTCATTGTACGGGTGCGTTCCCCCCCCACCCCCCACCCCGGTGTCAGAACTGAAAAGGTACGTGCAGGCTCACAATAGTTGGTGAACCCTGGGTCATGTCAAGGTCAGACAAAGTTCTGGGAGACTTGTGTTTGACTCTCTGTTTGGCCATGGATGCTTGCTGGGTGACTTTGGGTCAGTTGCTCCCTTTCAGCCTCACCTATCTCACAGGGTCACTGTGCAAATAACAATGGAGGAGGAAAAGGATTACGTGCACAGCACCAAGTTCTTTAGAGGAAGGTTAGGATAAAAATGTGCTAAAGGAATAAACTATTAAATAAACATTGGGAGATTCTGCATTGGTTTTCCCCTCCATTGTTTTACCAAACCCACACTGGAACAAAAATTCCCCGCTGCATTGCATGCCGCCTTCACGTTCTTTGATCATTGTATTTTATGGTACCCTCTACACTGCATGCTGCTTTCACTTTCTTTGATCATCAGATTTTATGGTACCCTCTACACTGCATGCCGCCTTCACTTTCTTTGATCATCAGGCTTTATGGTACCTTCTGCATAGATTTATGGCCATTCAGGGGTGACTTCTCAGTCAGTACGGCATTGCTCTGGGGTATCTGAATGTGGTTTTGAGCTGCACCTTTGGTAAAACCATGGAGGGAAAAGCCAATACAGAAGCGCCCATACTCAGCAACAACTCTCTGAATTCTCAAGCAAAGAATGATCTTTCCAATCACCTCCATTTAATTCAACAGAAATTCCATGGGAAAATAGTCTCCATGTCAGAAAAAAGCTTCACTTACTGAAAGTCTGTGTATTTAGACTGTTGTTAAAAGAACAGAAAAGAAAACAAGTGCCCAGCAAGTGCAAACTCTGCAGTGGATTTTGCGCCCTGTATAAATGACGCAAGTGCAAAATAATTCCTTATTTTGCAAAAAAGATTCTGGATTTATTAGTTAATGGGGCCCACTTTCCCTTTCAAATTTTGCTCAGCCCTCCTCTCTGCTTTCTAACATTCCAGCACGTAAAAGCACTTTCATGTTTATCAGAGCAGCCAGAGAGCCTGGAAGCATGCTTTTTGAAGAATGTCTCACGACACTGAATCCTGTGTTCAACACCGTTTCATATACCTGCTCTCTGCAACTGCCAAATCCAGACTGTTCTGACTATACACAGGGTGTACGCACAGTAGGTCCTCACCATGTGCAGGAGTTCCATTCCTGGGATCTCTGTTAATGGCAAAGTCTGTGAATACTGAGGGGGGGGTGTCTTCTGCCTCCAGGGGTGGAATGGGGAGGCCAAAACAGCCCACAAAATGCCCTGTTCCTTCTCCTTGAAGAAGGCCTGTCCTGGGACAGCTGGTCTGAGCCAGACAGCTAGGCTGCAGCATTACCGAGCAACTCCTTCAGTGGTAGCCTTCTTGTTTGCTTAGCCTGGGCAAGTTGTATGGCATGGCAGTAGCAGATGCTGCAGCGTGAGCTGCCTGGCCTGGCAGGCATGGTGACCACTGTTCAACTCACCCGGCACCAGTGTTCCCTCTAAGTTGAGTTAGTGTGAGCTAGCCCACAGTTTTTAACTTCCTGCTCACACATTTTTGTCTTGGCTCGGGAAGGATGGCTCCAGAGCAAACTAACTTATGCAGTAGCCAAATCGCTTGCTCACAACTTTAATGCCAGTAGCTCACAAGGCTCCACAGCTTAGAGGGAGCACTGCCCGGCACGCGTGCTTTCTTCTCGCACTGACACAGTGCTGATGAGCCAGAGATTGTGAGAGGGCAGGGGGCCAGGCCAGCATGTTCACAACCACTCTCCTTCTCCCAAAGCTCAGAAGGGTCATGTCAAGGGCAGCATCAGCATACACTGAGGTAGGCCAGCTGCCAGGGGTTCTCGGAGGGCCCATTGCTCCCTTCCTAGTGCTCTACCGCCCATGCCCCAGCGGCCACCACGGAAAGGGTTGCAGGAGGTACAGATGGCTGTGAGCACAGGTGGTGGGACGCTTTGCAAGCGGGTGGGGGAAGGACACACAGGCAGGTGGGAGGCATGAGGACAGGTGCACAGGAATGAGGGTATGAACAGGGCCTGTGGGTGGAGGGGGGGGGACCCTAGGAACTCTCTTGCCCAGGGCCTCCCAAAGCCTGGAACTGACCCTGGGCCACGTGCTCAGAGAGAGCTGCATCACATGGTCAGGCCGTAGTGAAATCTGTGTGTGAAATCACAAGCTGTGAATATGTGAAATCACAAGCTGCAAATCTGCAAATGGTGAGGGTCTGCTGTACGCTGCGCTTCTGCCATAGTGGGTACAGAAGCTCTTGACTGTTCAAACCAAGACTGGGCAGAAGGTAAACTGTAGTCCACTGATAGACTGCGGGTCTCTTGGTACCTAAGATTCTTGCAAAAAAACAGTAGACTGGGTGGACCTTGTTCCAATCCTGCAGGGAGCCTTTTATGTGCTGAACCAAGAACGCAGACTCAGGACCAGGTGGAAGAAAACAATAGAGGGAGACCAATTAATCTCCCCGGAGAGGGAGATTAATTTCCTCTTTCATTTTTTAAAAAAAATAAAGTTTCTAGTCCGTATGCCTGTGAAGACATTTAATGATTTAAAAGATTCCTATGCTTAATTTCTCCAAGTAGGACGTCCAAGACCATTAAAATAATAAGCCATACAATGAAAGTGATGTCATATGTCTAGGGTTGCCAACTGCCTCGAGGAAAAAAGAAGTCCTGTCCCTTTAAGAGAGGCTTAATGGGATGTCTTACCATGTTATTTCCCCTTCAGGCCATAAAAAGCTTCAGCTGCCAATTCTCCCACATTAAAGGTAAAGGTTTCCCTTGCTAGAAAGCTAGTTGAATCTAACTCTAGGGGGCAGCGTTCATCTCCGTTTCCAAGCCAAAGAGCCAGCGCTGTCCGAAGATGTTTCCGTGGTCATATGGCTGGCATGATTAAACGCCGAGGTGGACGCTGTTACCTTCCCAGCCTAGCTCACACATTAAGCCTCTTTTAAAGGGCCAGGATGTTTTTTCCCCTGTCCTGTTGGGTAACCCTGGTCTGGAGGCACGAGGGTGGGAGTTGGCTGAGAGGAGGGTGGCTGAGTAAGCTTTCCTATTGTCTGGAAGGGGTGTGTTCCTGACCCAGTTGTCTGTCCCTCCCCAAAACTAGCAAGACCAGAATGAGTCATGGTAAACAGAGCAAAAAGAGGCAGACTATCACACAAATGTAGGCAATCCATATGGAACACTGAATGCTTAAGTGCTAAACACAAACAGCTTAAAGTAGAAGACTGCGTGCCTTAAGGACAAAGTTTGGGCTCGACTTCCTGCAGCTGCACTCAGATTTTCTTTCTCAGAAACACCCAGACTGGTTTTTCTCTCCCTATACCCAAGAATCTGAAGAATGCAAGAAGACCCAACAATCTGAAGACTGCAAGGCCCAAGACACAGCAGTAAAGTGGAACTTTAAAGAGTAACACAGTTACCCCTCTGGAATGATCAGGGCCCAGACCCGACACTTCCCCACTCTCAGGCAGATTTTCCCATCAAAAATAATTTTTAGTTCCCCTCAGTGACTGAGCCACCCTTCAGTAGTGTGTATTCTTCTTTGTTTTATTTTATAAGCTTTAACTGTCCCACCCTGTCACAGATATTAGTTTAGGCTTATGACCCAGCACAGGAACTAGAGGAAATACAGGAGCTGTCTTGTTTTAAAATACCCTCATGAAATGCCACATGAGGTAGAATTAACTTTCAAAACAGAATAAAGATTTTAATAAACAGGCAAGAAATAGATAAAAATGAGGATTCCAGGTATAGTGGTTGCTGAGGGCAAACTTTCTAATATATACAGATTTGAATTCTTAGAACATTCAAGTGTTGTGGCTTATTTTCAGAGTTTCAAGATATTTTCAATGAGAGGTGCTTTGCTTAGTATATATTTCAGCTGTGACAGAGAATCTTGAATACAATATCTGAGAGAATAGACTTGTCTTAGTGCTTCTAGGTCTTTCCCTTCAGAGATCTAGGTTTTTCCTTTAGATATTACAGCTTTTCACTAACTCCTGAGGTGTCTAAGCTTCTCCCCTTTATCCCTAGAGATGTAAAATTTCCGGAAATTTTGAAGCTCGGGAAAAAAACGGGGTTTTTTCAGGTTTTTTCCGAGCGGGGGG